AAGAACAGTATTTTTTTGTTGATATAAATTTAAATGAAACCTAATATGTGTTTTTAATATTCTAGATTATCAAACAGACAATTACTCGTATCTACAAATACAGGAAAAAAACTTTATAGACAAATTCAAACCCGAACTGAATAGATCGTAACCCCCACACAAAAAAAAAAAAAACAACATGCACACAGGGTGACCAAATACAATGATCAAATCAATCACATACATGGACGCACACTCATATACATATACACGAGGAGATATATATATGTGTATGTACACATACATACATTTTATGTATGTATATGCGGATGTTGACAACTTAAAAATTTGTGTGTGTGTGTGTGTGTGTGTGTGTGTGTGTGTGTGTGTATTCCATGTGTTCACTGTAAATATGTAATAAAATATGTGTGTATATGTGTGTGTTACTGATTACTTGTGGTGGGATAGTGTGTATGTGCGTATGTGTGTGTATGCGTGTATAAGTACAAATAAGTTTACGAATTCCTCGTAGTAAGACAATATGTACGGAGGGAAATATACACGCATATATACACGCATGCTGACAGGAACACGCCAAAATAGAAACAGATCCAAGAGCACATAGAGGTCACTAAAACATTAAAAGATTAAATGCCGATAACTACTCGCTGGACAAACCTTAATTGTTTTATGACCCTTCGCGCAAAACTCTTCATTGACAATTCTAGAAAGAAAATTCGGATTGCCAACACACAAACAGAATGTCTCATATCGAGAATATTTCACATTGAACATGAAGAAAAATTAATTATTTTTAATAATATGTAAAAATCTCCACTTTTACCTGAAGACGGTCGAGAGACCAGAAACACGTGTCGTAGTAAAATTATGTAAAAAAAAGTATAATATTTTTTCTAAATAAATCCACATTACAACCAAAAACGTTTGCGGCACCTCTCTTTTTTTTTACATATATATATATATATATATATATATATATATATATATATATATATATATATATATAAATATATATAGACTCTTTTTTGAAAATATTTTGATTTTTGATTTGCAAATAATCAAAAAATCTCGAGGGAAAAAGGTTTTAAAAAAAAAGAAAGAGCTACAAACATGGACTTCTGTCGACAAAAAACTCTTCATAGATGCAGGTCTGAAGCCCAAAGAAAAAACCCCGATACGAGTAAATAACTAACTAACTAACTAACAAAAGCGCTCAATACAACCGTAGAGCAGACCTTACTTTCCCTGACGATCCGTTTAGGTGAAACCTAGGTAGGTTTGTCTGGCTTTGGAGGTGTATGTATCTATCTATCTATATCTATCTATATATCTATATAAATATATATATATATATATATGGATTTTCAGGAATCGGAGAGCCGAGTTCGAATTATTAAACCGAAAATTACATTCATTTACATATATTCCATTCCCTTGGGAAAGGTGTGAAATCTCTTTAGTTCTCCCTCCAGCTATGGGTAAATTTTTTACTTTATCAAAATAGCCTTTTATGGCAACTGGTCTTTTAGGACAACTCTGAATTTTTGGAATAGAATATTTATAAAATCGTTTACCTTATGGGATTTACGCATTTAGAAGTTCTGGATGTATCCCATCCCTTTAAAAAACACTGATGGTCCTTCACTAAACCTTCACCACTATAATCAAATCTCATTTTTGTTGTCGGGTCAAGAAACCTGGGAACTGATTTTTAGTATTGACTCATACGTCGAATTCGACGCAAAAGAGTCGACTATATATATATATATATATATATATATATATATATTTATATATATATATTTCAAACAAATAAAATAAAAAGAATAACGTAAATTAATTAAAGATGACCAATGAAGGGGAGAAAAATTCAAGAAATTATTAATAAGGATATTTTTATATATATAATAAATATATATATATATAAATTAAATATATATATATATATATATATATATATATATATATATATATATATATATATATATATATATATATATATATATATATATATATATATATATATTTCCTTGTATTTATCTTTTATGCCCTGTCAATTCCCCATAATTAAGGGACTATTGGAAGAGTTCATAATTTATGGTTTTAGTGATAAAATGTCTTACTAATTAACCCATAGCTGGGGGAGAGAAGAGAAATAAGATTCATACCTTCCCCAAGTATATTTGTATTTAAATTAATTTACTAAATTAAAATGGAAAATTGGAACTCAAATCCGATTAATAGTTTCTAACTTATCCATAAACCATGGATACATCCAAGCTTAATTTCCAATTGGTCACCCATAGAGGTACTCAGACCAGGCTTGACATTGATATATAAAAAATCAAATTTGACTAAGAGCTAACCTGTAAAAAACAATATGAATATGACCTTATTCATATATATATATATATATATATATATATATATATATATATATATATATATATATATATATTGTGTGTGTGTGTGTGTGTGCTGAAAGTGATAATGAAGATTGCGATCAAATGAAATAGAATAATAATAAATCTATAGTATATATATATATATATATATATATATATATATATATATATATATATATAAACTATATATGATAATAACAAAGACCTAATCTTTTTTTTTTATATTTCTAATTTATATATATATATATATATATATATATATATATATATATATATATATATATATGTGTGTGTGTGTGTGTGTGTGTGTGTGTGTGTAAAAATATATTGAAAATAGGAAAGAACTCGTTAGGTAAATAATCCAAAGTTCTTTTAGTATTTTTGTTAGTATTTAAAAAAATAGTGCTCGATAATTGATGTTTTCGGTTCTTGTTTTGAAACATGAGAACTCTTATGTAGCGTTGGAATCATATTTTTAAATCAATAATTATATATATATATATATATAGGGTGCGATGGATAAATTGTCGTCTCAATGACGCCATAATGAAAATAACGCTGACGTCTCATTTTAACAGAGATAATTACCAAAATTACACAAGAATATCTTGAAATATTACAGAGTAAATTGATTCAATAAAATCGCCATTGGTTGCAACAACGACCCCCAAACAACTTCGGAATCTCCTGCATCTAATTCTAAATCATATTGTTTAAAAACCCAAACATAATAATTTAATTCATCTTTGTTTTCTAGGAGATGGGTGGCCAAATGTTAGGGGTGATGTGAACGCAAAAATTGTCTGACAGCCGTGACTGGGTTCCCCTGCTTGTGTGGCTTGGTGCAGCGTCCTGTTACCAGACATAGGGTCTTCAAGCAGCCGTATCTCCCCAAGGCACTTGATGCAGGCCTCCGTATTGAGTCTGAGGCCCTCAGAAACAAATTCGGGAGTTCTTTTCTTATCAGAACGATCAGAGTGAGTTTTCCAAGCTGTCGTACCTTCGTAATCCCCATTAGACTCATCCAACTCTTACCAAATTCTCTGAAAAAGAAAATGCCACACAAACACTCTGAAATATTCGTCTTGAGCTTCTGGCATGAATGCCAAAATCTCAGTACAGTATATATTTCCTAAATTTTGGCGGAGTGGATTGATCCCAAAAAAATTTTTTCCTCAAAGGAGGTGCCCGGTGAGCATACTATACTGCGTAGTAACAAAATCAAAAACAAAAAAAGGCACAAATATATATATATATATATATATATATATATATATATATATATATATTTATATATTTTATTTCATATTTAATCCGCTTGTCTGAATCATCTTCAAGAAGCGAGAGCAAGGTCTAAAAATTTTAACCAATCTAACAAAATAGTGATCTTATCTCACAATCCTCACACTGCTCCATTAATGTGGATTCTTTTGTAAATCATATAACAATTTAAAATAAATGCCACTTAAGATTATCGCATAAACTTTCATAACTGAATCAATAAGACTGGCAGATCCTCATACGTCAAATAATGGAGAGTCCATTATTATTATTATTATTATTATATAAGCAGCAGTGCTGAAATGAACCACCATTACTGAACAATTGAACAAACAGATCGTTTTGTGGAAAGATTTTTTCTCTTATTCAAAGTTCAACAATCTTTCAGTAATTCATATATATATATATATATATATATATATATATATATATAATACACACACATACGCATATATATATATATATATATATATATATATATATATATACACACAACATATACATATATATATATATATATATATATATATATATATATATATATATACACAACATACATATATATATATTGCAACACATTACACACACATACACACATATACATATATATGTGTGTGTATTTAGAAACATATATAGAGGTCTAATATAATGCACACACACACACACACACACACACACACACACACACACACACAATTAAATATGGTGGATATATATGAATTTGTATGTGTGTGTTAATATATTTTATAAATATTAAAAGTAATTTGATATCAAATTTACGAACACATTTAATATATTGTTCAGAATCTGGTTTTCCTGTTGTTCCCAAGGATATAAATTTACAAATTTGACATCAATTTAATTCCTTTTGCAATATTCCCCACTTCCCTACTTCATATTGGCATCTTTTTCGGGATCTGTGAATGTTAATTAAAGAACGGAAACGATTTTTGATACTGGCTGATGGCGAAAAATTAACGCTGATAATTAAGCACAATTGATAGCCAAAGTACAATGAAAAGTAAATTATCTCTGTTCTATGCCAATCTGTAAATTCTAGAGGGATATTGAGAAAGATTGTCGGGGTTTTATTACCCTTTTATTGAAGAGATTTTGCTCCCTTTATTGGGGATATTGCTAGGTTTATAGTGTTCTCTATAAAATCGAAGGGCGGTGATGGCCGACATGGTGGCTTCCTGTTTAAGCTTAGGTAAGAAAAATGATTTTGATGTCACTATTACGGGAAAATAAAACAAATCAGTATACATCAACAGATTTTACAATATTCGTATATCTTTGAAATATGCAACATTTATGCTATCTATCTATCTATCTATCTATCTATCTATCTATCTATCTCATTCTTTGTTCATGTCTACCTCACTCTCTCTATCTGATATTGTTCATATCTCTGTATCTCTCACTGTTCATATCTATCTATCTATCTATCTATCTATCTATCTATCTATCTATCTATCTATCCCATTATCTGTTCATATCTATCTATCTATCTATCTATCTATCTATCTATCTATCTATCTATCTATCTCTCACTGTTCATATCTATCTATCTATCTATCTATCTATCTATCTATCTATCTATCTATCTATCTCATTCTCTGTTCAGATCTATCTATCTATCTATTTATCTATCTATCTATCTCTGTTCATATCTATCTATCTATCTATCTATCTATCTATCTATCTATCTATCTATCTATCTATCTAAGCCTGTTCTATCAAGGCTAGTAATGACGTAGAGAGTTAAAAAGTTGTTTAAAAAAGTAAATAAACGCATATCCTCATTAGGCTATAATATTATTAATTATTTATATATATATATATATATATATATATATATATATATATATATATATATAACAAAATATTGTTTTAAGGTGTGCCATATTTATGGGTAAAAGTGCTTAATAATCGGTGATAGGACTTGCGTAAAAGTAGATTCTGAGGTCAACACTGAACGGCGACAAACATGGCTTGATGATTGCATTCACGCATGAAAGAAACTGTTGCTACTAGGCGTTGACCTCAGTCTCCACTTTAAAACATCTATCTATCTATCTATCTATCTATCTATCTATCTAAAAATAACAATGTAAATCTATTTAATAAGCGGAATGAGGTTATGTTAGTTTGTAAGCATAGAATTATGTTTCTCTTAAGATATTGAAACCCTGGATAAATTTCCTTTTAGATTATATTTTAGGTTTTATAGCGTTTATTCCCCTTTAACCGTTCAAATGTTTCTTTCTTCACAAAAATTTATATGTCTTAAAGGCTAAATTTAAATTTTAAACATCCTCCAATTTGTTTTTCTTTTCCCAATTGACCCCTACCTGCACCTCTGCATTTGGACCCCAGTAATGTTTTCGTACTTTTTTGTACTATTTTATTTTGGGGGCTATGAAGCGGCGTTCCTCCCATGAACATCTGTATATTTAAAAAAAGAAAAAAAGAACGTAAACTTTATCTTCTGCCCGTAACTAAGGAAGCTAAAGTTCCTCACCAAAACGTAGATATATGCATATTTGTTAATATATATACTTAGCTCTGTCTAACTACATCGAGCACTATTATATTTACACCTTATGGTTAAATTTGATATTTATTTATTTTCTTAAATGTCTATGCAAATTATACACGGGCGTATACGGTTGATAATATGTAAAGTTGAATTTAAATATATATATATATATATATATATATATAGAGAGAGAGAGAGAGAGAGACAGCATAAAGAAGATTCTTTATAATGAAAATGAGCAAAGGGAAACAATCCAAGTATTGTGAAGTTATTTCATTTGGAAACTTGTATTTGTACTAAGTCGGTCCTAAAATAGGTTCGACGTACAAAACGTTAGGGACGATATAATAGGTATTACGCAAGTAATCTTGTTTTGGACGTTGACTACTTTAAAATTCGAACTAACATTCGACTACTCTCGTCCGACATCGACTAACTGTCGTCTAACTGTCGACTACTGTCCGACATCGACTAGTATTTAAACAAAAAAATGAAAATAATTTATCGATATATCTAAGGCCGGTTTAAAAGGGATCTCCGAAAGATGGGCTCGGCCAAAATATGATTAGGTTGAACCCGTACAAACGGGTTCAGGGTCTGAAATTCCAAAGTTATCAAATCCTCTTTGTTGCTCAACTGCTTTCTAGAGAGCCTGTACTTTATAATGTTCCATAAGTTTTCTATGGGGTTGAGGTCAGGAGATTGGGGCGGCCATGTCATAACACTCACCTGCTTCTCATCAAAGTATTCCTTCATCAATTTTGATTTTTGACAGGGAACATTATCCTGCATAAAAATGATCTTGGTAGGGTCGATTTGCACCCTTTCAGCAGAAGGAGCAGACAAGACTCTAAAATTCTCTTGTACTGCTCGCTCCTGAGGGTCTTTTCAATAGGTTTTAAGAAACCAGTTCCATGAAAAGAAAAGCATCCCCAGAACATTATACTGAACGGATGCTTGACAGTACTTACTGATAAATTCAAAGAGCTTTCAAAGCTTCTTCTTTGATTTTAGATCGCTTATCCTTTGAATTTAGCTCAACTTTCGTTTCATCGGAGAAGAGAAAAATTTAGTAAAAAAAAAATCAGGTGAGTCACTTTTATCGAACAGCACTGTATATATATATAGTAAAATGACCAGCAATACATATTAGCTGGAGTTGAAGACATGCAATTGCGTTTCAAAATATTTAGATTTCGGTATTAAATAACCCATAGAGGTGTTGATATGTCGCTGAACAAAATCAACCAAACAACATGAAAGAACTCTTTCGTGATAATAATCGACATAATATCCTCCAAAATGTAACACATATACCACGGCCTCTAGCGATTACGTCCACAGAAACCTGTATATGCATAGACCTAAGTAACATCTCACCTGTATTCAATTGTAAAAAACAGAATAATATATATTTATTACTTCAAAGCTCGCAAGAAAATTTATTTTTAGCATTAAATGATATATAAGGCGTTGATATGATGTTAAGCAAACAAAACAAAATAGATGAAATTTACGGTAAAGGTTTCGTAAATTAGTGTACTTTCAATAGATTTTTGCCTCATTAAATTACTTTCTCTTTTAATTATATACGCATTTTCTTAATGGAAAATATGGTCAAACACATGACGCTCATTTTCAGACGCATGTGTATTCACATCAATATGAATATCACTTTTGTCCGACAGACTCCTGAAGTCACACGAAGAAAGAAAATTGAGTGAGACCAATAGAAGAGTAATCAGGAAGACAGTTGATAACGATTGACATTGCATTTAAATTTTTGAAGATCAAAGTTGAGAGGAAAGCAAGAAGCCGGAAGAGAGTTCCACAAGCGAAAATTGAGTGAGAACAATAGAAGAGTAATCAGGAAGACAGTAGATAACGATTGACATTGCATTTCAATTTTTGAAGATCAAAGTTGAGAGGAAAGCAAGAAGCCGGAAGAGAGTTCCACAAGTGAAAATTGAGTGAGAACAATAGAAGAGTTATCAGGAAGACAGTAGATAACGATTGACATTGCATTTAAATTTTTGAAGATCAAAGTTGACTGGAAAGCAAGAAGCCGGAAGAGAGTTCCACAAAATGAAAATTGAGTGAGAACAATAGAAGAGTAATCAGGAAGACAGTAGATAACGATTGACATTGCATTTAAATTTTTTGAAGATCAAAAATGACAGGAAAGCAAGAAGCCGGAAGAGAGTTCCACAAGTGAAAATTGAGTGAGAACAATAGAAGAGTAATCAGGAAGACAGTCGATAACGATTGACATTGCATTTAAATTTTTGATGATCAAAGTTGACAGGAAAGCAAGAAGCCAGAAGAGAGTTCCACAAGTGAAAATTGAGTGAGAACAATAGAAGAGTAATCAGGAAGACAGTAGATAACGATTGACATTGCATTTCAATTTTTGAAGATCAAAGTTGACAGGAAAGCAAGAAGCCGGAAGAGAGTTCCACAAGTGAAAATTGAGCGAGAACAATAGAAGAGTAATCAGGAAGACAGTAGATAACGATTGACATTGCATTTCAATTTTTGAAGATCAAAGTTGACAGGAAAGCAAGAAGCCGGAAGAGAGTTCCACAAGATGAAATTGAGTGAAAACAATAGAAGAGTAATCAGGAAGACAGTAGACAACGATTGACATTGTATTTAAATTTTTGAAGATCAAAGTTGACAGGAAAGCAAGAAGCCGGCAGAGAGTTCAACAAGTGAAAATTGAGTGAGAACAATAGAAGAGTAATCAGGAAGACAGTAGATAACGATTGACATTGTATTTAAATTTTTGAAGATCAAAGTTGACAGGAAAGCAAAAAGCCGGAAGAGAGTTCCACAAGCGAAAATTGAGTGAGAACAATAGAAGAGTAATCAGGAAGATAGTAGATGACGATTGACATTGCATTTAAATTTTTTGAAGGTCATGGTTGACAGGAACGCAAGAACCCGGAGGAGAGTTCTACAATTCCGAAAGAAGAAACTTTTAGTTTAGAACTTAAATTTACATTTAGCCAATTCAATGGTAAAATGATGAGAACTTGCCACCAATGTAGTACTGCGTATATATTTGTAAAATTTAGGCGCCATAGTACAAAATTCTCTAGAAGAATTACTGTGAAACTACTTCTAGAAAAGGTACAGTGAGGATACATTACAGAGGTGGCAAAGTGACTGAAGCCGAGATGCCAGGTCAGGACCAATAACATTGTAGATTCTTCTTTGGATTCTATCAAGAATCATTATATATATATATATATATAGCAGGAGTACCAGACCATATGTAGCAGAAATATATTAAGCATGGTCGAATGGTTGACATATAGATATATAAGACAGATTCTGGAGAGTAAAAATTTTGCCCGAGAGAGTGAACCGAATTTCTTCGCAGTTGACCTAGCAATGGATTCAATATAGCCTTTCTATTCATGTCAGCTTAGAAAGTGAAGACGCAACGTGTCACTTTCCTGGAGGTCAGCTGGAAGGCAGCAAGGGTTCTCTCTGATTCATGGAGAGAAATTTAGTTTTGGAGGCATTAAATTTAACAAGCCATCTTTTGCCTCAGTTAACTTTGTACTGGAGTTCGTTTTGGATATCAGCTGCCATTTTGACCTTGTCAGTCCGATAAAGCTTACTATCAAGGCAAGAGTAAATTGTTGTGTCGTCGGCGTAGATACCAAGTTGAAGGCTGATGACATCAGGAAAAGCATTAATCTTACTTATTATAAAACGCAGATTGTGTGTGTGTGTGTGTGTGTGTGTGTGTACGTTTATATATTGGATCGGATTTCCGACATTTTTCAACCGATTCCAACAAAACTTCACAGGACTATGTAAAATTACCTTGCGGTGGTTCTGACAGCGCCAAAAATTGGAAAAATACAATTGTTTTAGCACGAAATCAATTTGAAAACACGATTACGAGGCATCACTGTCGCGAGAATGAAAGGGGGACAACTCATATCGAGTTATACTTATAAAACCCAGGTTGTTTGTGTGTGTGTCCGTTTATATATGGGGTCGGATTTCCTACATTTTTCAACTTATTTCAACAAAACTTTCTCTTTTTTTTTGGCATGTAGTGTTTCTTATTGTTTTGCAGACTTTTTTCTTTAATTTTACATTTAGAATGCTTTAAAAATTCCATTTACAAGACTATTGTTTATAATAAAATTCTATTCAATCGATAGACTCATAACCATTGAAAACAATATTTTTGTTTGAGTTTGGGTTTGACCAATTCGTAACCCCCCTCCAAAAAAAAACAAAAAACTAATTAAGACATGCGTGTCCGTCAACCTTAAACAGTAATCTTTGTCAATTTTATTTTTCAGTCTTTATGATGGTCGATACTTGATCTATCTCTTACTGTTACATCCCCGGGCAACACCGGGCTCTACTGCTAGTGAAAATTAAAAATAGAGAAATTAAATTAATTAATTAAGTTAAATTATGTTAATAAATTAATTAATAAATTAAAAAATTAATGAAGGAAACTATAGAAGAATGGTTGACTTATAAATAAGTTATCTAACTTGTTTATAAGTCAACCATTCGTGGAGAAGAATAATTGTCTAGTTGAGATATAACAACTTATCACAAGGCCCTAGACACTTCCTGAAGCGATATAGTGAGCCAGCCATTTTGCCACCCTTTTTCTTAACGGATTATATATGTGAGTTCCAATAGACGTCGAGAATGAACTAGTTTCGCCGTAGACATCCAAAGCAATGATTTTCATCGAGAAAATGAACTTTCATTTTGACTGGAGATAACACAAAGTCTGAACGGTGATTAAATTGTTTCATGAGAAAGTAGGAGAGAGCCATATTTATTTTATTTTTATTTATAATATAGCTCATCCGATAAGAGCCACTCAAGGTAGAGTGTTACTAAATGAGGTTGTTGTAACAGCGTACAGGGAGGGAGTAAGTCGTATGTACTATGAGGATATATGCCATAGATTTTTTTTAATGGTTTGCCAACATTTGTGGGTTGTTTAAAGACGAAATCTATTTTGAAGGCACGGTGGGGCCATTGTCAGCGGCTCGGACCGAGAAATCGGAATTCCAGGCGGACCCATTACATTTACCTACGTTTTAATAACCCTGCGAGAGGAATGAATCCTCTTCTTCTCCCCTCCCAGCTATGGGTAAATAGCAGTACAGACGGTTTTATAGCCTTGGACGGCAACTGGTCTACCGCAGAAAGAAATGGCAACCTACTCCGGGAAAAATGCCTCGTCAGTCATGTATCAAAAGATACATGATCGCCTAAGCGTGTATCACTTATGACACGTAACTGAATGACTGACTTTCCAGTCAAATCCGTTACATTCATTTACATGCTAATACCCTTGGGAAAGTAATGAATCCTTTTTTCTCCCCTCAACTATGGGTAAATAGCAGTACAGACTGGGTTTTATAGCCTTGGGCGGCAAGTTCCGCAGAAAGAAATGGCAACCTACCACGGGGGGAAAAAAATTTGCCTCGTCAGTCATCTATCGAAAGATACATGATCGCCTAGGCGTGTATGACGCATGGCATTTAACTGACTTTAGAAGGCACGGTGAAATTATGGATAGCGTCTTGGAGTGAGAAATCGGAGAGCCGAGTTCGAATTCTAATTGAATCCATTATGTTCACTTACGTGCTAATACCCTTGAGAAAGGTACGAATCCTCTTCTCCCCACCAGTTATGAGTAAATAGCAGGACAGACTGGGTTTTATAGTCTTGGGCGGCAAGCGGTCTAGGAGAAGGAAAACTCTGAATTCAAATCCGGTCTGCAGAGGGTTAGGCTCCTTCAGGTTATCTTGCCCAAGAAACACCACTTCTGCTGAGCCTACGGTACCTTTGGTACCCCTATGATCCTAATGGGTCACAGGTTTCGTGATCAACATCTATTTGACATTATAAAAATAATTCATATTTTTGCTAAGGAATATAGAATTAACAATCTTTTGACAATAACAATGATCTTTCGCGACCGATGTAAGCCCTATAATTTTACCCATAGCTGGGGGAGAAGAGATGCAACGAATCCGACTGGAATTCGAACATGGTCTCCCAGTTTTTTCATTCCAAAGCATCCGACACAAAAATACATCTTCAAAAGTCAAAACAGGAAGAGAAATTAACAACAACCCAAAACATCCCCCCACTTGAAAATATCTAGAGAAGTGGCCGAAAGCGCTTGAGACAATGGTCAATATCGATAAATTTTGTTACTCCCACCAAACGGAAAAAAATATGTAAGAACGCTTGTAAAAGCTAAATAAAATTTAATTTAAATTTCTTTGTTTGTCATATTTAACGATAGATGTTTAAAAGAAAGGTTGCTGACCAAATATATATATATGGGTGTCCCTAAAAATTTGACATCATTTCGCAAGCCAATAATAAACTCAAATTTTCACAGAATGTATAGAAACGGAATAAAATTTTGTATTTAATGGAAGAAGATATTACGTGCTTATCTCAATGAGAATCTGCCAGAGAGATGGGTCAGGCGTGGTGGAGATGAAGACAGTTTCCTGATGAAATGGCCGCCGCGGTCACCGGACTTGTCCCCCTGTGATTTATTTTTATAGGAACATGTGAAGGGACTGGTCTATGCCCCCACTTCTTCCTGTTAACATTGATGAACTCAAGTAGAGAATCACTTCCGCACTGGACAATGTTACCAGAGACATGCTACAGCGTGTTTGGCAAGAGCTTAACTACCAACTTGACGTGTGCCGTGTCACAGGCGGTGCACATATTGCACAATTATAAAATCGGTCCCATAATAAGCTTATGATGTTCAACACCTAAACTGTTCAATTTCATTGAACAGCTTAGGTGTTGTTTTAGTAGTTTTTTAGATAATTGCTTTTAAATTGATGTCAAATTCTTTGGGACACTCTCTCTCTATATATATATATATACTCGACTCTCCCGTCGAATTCGACATATGAGGGTCAAGCAAATCAGTTCCTAGATAACCGACATCCTGTCAACAGCACATGAGATTTGATTATAGTGATGAAGGTTTCTTACAGGACCATCAACACTTTTTGAAGGGCCGAATACAAGAGACCTGGTGCACTACGTGCCACAAGGTCCTTAAACAACCCTTCGCAGGTTTTGAATTCAGAGTTGTCCTTCTCCTAGACCAGTTGCCATCCAAGGCTATAGAACCCAGTCTGTCCTGCTAGAGGGAGAAGAAGAGGATTCACACCTTTCCCACGTAAGTGTATATAATGGATTCGACTGGAATTCGAACTCGCCTCTCCGATTCCTCAATCCAAGCCGCTATCCATTACTCCACCGTGCTTCCTATATATATTGCAGTTTTCCTATTTTGAAAAGAGAAAATAATTATTTATTTTCTATATCCTGTCCTTCACGATAAGGAGAACAAGTGCAGGCTCCCAAAGAGCGACAAAATTGTTTTCTGCTTCTTCCCTCAAAACCCGCTACTCCATGGATCTGAAGAATTTAAATGGCATAACATTCGTTATTTTAATATAATGACCTTTCAGGCCTGTGATGGTAATCATACTCATTTGTAGATAATTTGGACTTTTAGGATTTTACATCCATTCACCACAACGGGGTTAGCAATATAAAGTCCACTTTTATTGTTCCAGAAAATAGGCCAGTATCCTATTACTATCGTTGTTAAATATAACGAAATCACCGAGAAACGTTTTGATTGGATAAAAAAGAGGAGAAAACCGGTTGGAATAATCGACGGGTAATAATGTTGTTATTGTCGCTATTGTTGTTGTTGTTGTTGTGGTGGTTCTTCTTCTTCTTCTTCTTCTTCTTCTTATTATTATTATTATTATTATTATTATTATTATTATTATTATGTATTTATTTATTCGGATTATTATTCGTACACAGATATCTTTGTCGCCAAATTTATTTATTTTTTTATTCGGTTTCATATCAACTATATTTTTTTGAATTTTTATTATTTTTTTAAGGCGACAAAGATGATTACAATCGGACTTTCCTCATCACAGAAATATCTTTGAAAGGCTGAAATTTAAAATGGCGACAAAGATGATGACAATAGACCGAATAATGTAAATAGTGTACATAATTTCTCCTCTTTTGAATATAGACAGATACTGAAAGGCTGAAACTTGTGATAAATATGGCGACAAAGATGAAGACAATAGACCGAATAATGTAAATAGTGTACATAATACCTCATCTCAGAAATATAGACAGATACTGAAAGGCTGAAACGTTGTGATAAATATGGCGACAAAGATGAGGACAATAGTCCGAATAATGTAAATAGTGTACATAATACCTCATCTCAGAAATATACACAGATACTGAAGGGCCGAAACGTTTTAATAAATATGGCGACAAAGATGAGGACAATAGTCCGAATAATGTAAATAGTGGACATAATACCTCATCTCAGAAATATAGACAGATACTGAAAGGCTGAAACGTTGTGATAAATATGGCGACAAAGATGAGAACAATAGTCCGAATAATGTAAATAGTGTATATAATACCTCATCTCAGAAATATAGACAGATACTGAAAGGTTGAAACATTGTGATAAATATGGCGACAAAGATGAGGACAATAGTCCGAATAATGTAAATAGTGTACATAATACTTGAACTCAGAAATATAGGCTGATACAATAATTGATTAATAAGTTGTAACTTTAAAAATTTTTTTTTCAAAATCATTCCACCCCATACATGTCATTAAAGGCGATAAGACAGAAAGAGTTAATGAGTGCGAAAGAAGAAGAAAAAAAAATAAAGGAAAAAACATTATTAAGGAGTAATAAGCAAAACTAAGTTGAAAGAAAGAAAAATAAGGAAGGAAAGAAGAAAAGGAAAAAACAAAGAAGATGATCCGTAAAACAACGACAAAAAGAAGGAAAATATGAAGAAATGGAATCACATTGACGTTTCTTGCATTTTTTACCATTCTACCATTCTTTTTACCATCTTACCATTCTTTTTGCCATCTTACCATTTTTTTTACGAACTTACCATTCTTTTGGCCATCCTACCATTCTTTTTTGCCATCCTACCATTCTTTTTATCATCCTACCATTCTTTTTACCATCTTAGCATTTTTTTTACGAACTTACCATTCTTTTGGCCATCCTACCATTCTTTTTTGCCATCCTACCATTCTTTTTATCATCCTACCATTCTTTTTACCATTTTACCATTCTTTTTGCCATCTTACCATACTTTTTACCATCCTACCATTCTTTTTACGACCTTACCATTCTTTTTACCATCTTACCATTCATTTTGCAATCTTACCATTCTTTTTACCATCCTACCATTCTTTTTACGACCATACCATTCTTTTTGCCATCTTGCCATTCTTTTTGCAATCTTACCATTCTTTTTGCCATCCTACCATTCTTTTAATGATGTTACCATTCTTTCTGCCATCTTACCATTCTTTTTGCCATCCTACCATTCTTTTTGCCATCTTACCATTCCTTTTACGATCTTACCATTCTTTTGCCAGCTTACCATTCTTTTTGCCATCTTACCATTCCTTTTACGATCTTACCATTCTTTTTGCCATCTTACCATTCTTTTTGCCATCTTACCATACTTTTTACCATCCTACTATTCTTTTTATGATCTTACCATTCTTGTTGCCATCCTACTATTCTTTTTACCATTCTACCATTCTTTTTTCCCATCTTACCGTTCCTTTAGCCATATTACCATTCTTTTTACCATCCTACCATTCTTTTTACCAATGCCATAGTCCTTCAGGACGTAGCCAATCAAGACTCTTGATAGATTTCCCTTCATTATCTGCGAATTGCCCTACATTCTTTGGAAATATAGTTCAGTATCCGGTGTTTTCCATTTTGTAGATTGGTTGCTACATAGCCTATTCTATCCTCGTATTTAATCCATATCTGGGGCACAGAAGAGATGAATTCATACATTTCCAATGGCATGTTTGTGAAATTTGAACACTATGTGATTGCCCTACATTTCAAAGTAGGTTACTTTTCCGTTGATAATTAATCAATTTCCTCCACTTTTTCCCCTTCCAGAAGAGTAAAAAAGAAATGGCCTTTTGAAGCCGTTTCAAGATAGAGATCACATGTTTCCCGCACTGTTTACACACCGCTGCGTCCTCTGACAACGAGCAGATTGCATACCAGGTCAGTCAGGATTTTTCTGCTTACATGTAGCCTGGAGCGAACTGGCTCCAGAGAGTCGCTCATGTGATTGGAGAAGACCTAAATAAAGTGAGGGCTGACCATATTACGAAACCTAGAAACGTAAGGTGTCGTCGTTATGTAACTATAAGAGAACGTTTACTGTTCAAGAAAATGTTAAACATGATCTATCACCATTTGTGCTCGCAGAACTTATGGACGTTTCGCACTTATTTTAAAAACTGTTATATTGTTGGAAATTGTTAAAGAAACGTTTGGTGGATTTTACGATACTTTTTTTTTTTTTTTTTTTTTTAAAATATCACCCCAAACAAGGCTAGAGGTTTTGTTTTCTTTCTTTTTAAAGCATATCGCTCCCAATGAAGGTGGGAGTGCCGCCAGCATGCAAGGGGTTACAGAGAGTGAGAGCAAGAGTAAAGAGGGTTGTTTGAGGAAAGGATATAGAGGAGGACGGATATCAGTATCAAGGCATCAGAAGATGTCGATTGACATTACACTTGAATAGTTGAAGATTAATGGAATTAATTAGAAAATCTTTGTTTTTTTTTTCTTTTTTAAAATTTCACCCCTGGCAAAGCAGGAGTGCCACTTTCAAAAAATATTACATGAGAAGAGAAGAAATGTAAAGAGGGTTGTTTGAGGAAAGGATATAGAGGAGGATGGATATCAGTATCAAGGCATCAGAAGAAGCCATCTATCAATACTTTCTACAAAAGGTAATAACATTTATTAGACTTAAGAAATCTTTTCCAGAAAAAAAAAAAAAAAAAAAAGATTTTTTAAAATTTCAACCAGCAAATAGTAATAGCTGTTCGGTCAATTAAAATTGAATGTTTGCAAATAAGGAAATGGCTAATATTGACATTTTTTTTTTTTATGTATGTGCGATTGGTAAATTTGAATTTTTTAAGCAAAATAATTCAATGCAGTTTGTTTGGATCTGAGAGACAGATTGTCTATTTAGACTACAATACAAGATCTCTAACCAACAATGATGGACTGAAATCACAGTCTCAATTTTGACCCTATTTTGTGTTCTCTCTTGTTGAAGACATAATGCTATAAAATTTTTTTTTAAAATATATATCACCCCAAGCAAGATGGGAATGTGCCACTAGCATGCAAGGGGTTACAGAGAGTGAGAGCAAGAGTAAAGAGTTGTTTGAGGAAAGGATAAAGAGAAGGACGGGGATCAAGGTCAAGCCATCAGAAGATGTCGATTGACATTACATTTGAATATTTGAAGATTACAGTTATCAGGGAAACAAGTAAGAGGAAGAGAGTTCCACTGCCGGGAAGTGTGAGATAAGAAGCTGTTGGAGTAGAAGAGATGTCTACATCTAACCGTTTCGACAGTGAAAGGGTGGGACCGAAATGCCAACCTAGTAGCACGCTTAAAATTAAAGCAGATGGGACGCCAGTGAAAGTGGCTCGTCAGAGCAGATGCCATGAAAATATTTGTAGAAAAGACATAAGGAAGGCATAGCAATTCTGTGAGAAAGTGACTGGAGTCGAGATGTCAAGTCCACACCGATCACATTGCATATCCGTCGCTGGATGTTGTCTAGGCACTCGATATGAAAGTGGGGGTACCATTCCATATATAGCAGCAGTATTCAATGCAAGGACGATTGGTAGATTTGTACATTTGAAGGATGGACTCAGCTGATAAAAAACCATCTGGTGCGACAGAGAGAACCAACTTTTACGATATACTAGTAGTCCTAGGTATGATGATAAACTACATCCGGCAGCAAGGCCTCCGATCACGAGATTGGAGGTTTTTGAGGAAATGGAACGACGTCTTAATTGCTGTTGTCCGCATTGGCAGGCCACTTTGACACAATTTCAGTCCTGGGTATGATGATAAACTACATCCGGCAGCAAGGCCTCCGATTACGAGATTGGAGGTTTTGAGGAGCGTGGAACGACGTCTTAATTGCTGTTGTCCGCATTGGCAGGCCACTTTGACGCAATTTCAGTCCTGGGTATGATGATAAACTACATCCGGCAGCAAGGCCTCCGATCACGAGATTGGAGGTTTTGAGGAGCGTGGAACGACGTCTTAATTGCTGTTGTCCGCATTGGCAGGCCACTTTGACGCAATTTCAGTCCTGGGTATGATGATAAACTACATCCGGTACCAAGGCCTCCGATCACGAGATTGGAAGTTTGAGGTAATCATTTGCTGTATTTTTAGTTGAGTTTATATGTATGTATTCTTCTTCCTCTATGTGTCGTTTCCCTTCAGGACGTAGGCGATCATGGCTCTCCACAATTTCCTGTCCTTTGTAGCTCTTAATATTATTTTCATTTTGTTAATCTCTCCTAAACCTTGCTCCGTCATCCATTTACTCAAGGTCGCTAAGTAGAATGTGCATTGTTTTTTTTCGCTTTTCTTGCTTTTACCGGGCACATAATGAGGAAAGAGGGCTTGGAAAATTTGATACTCACAGGACAGATTCCTGTGAGTCTCTAATTTTCCAAACCTTCTTTCCTTATATCTTAGAAAAGTTTGAACAATTTCTTTCTGGTGTTCAGTATAAATGTTCTTTTTGCTTCCATTTTCTCTAAAATTTCGTCGTTGTTCACACATTAGGTCCATTGTATTCTCAGTATCCTCCTGTAGGACAACATCTTTATTGCTTGAAGTCTCTATTTCATCTGTGAAGAGAATCTCTCGCATTCACTGCCATATAGAACGAAAGCCAATGAAATTTAGATGAAAGAAATCCTAGTAGAAAATAAATAATTGACAATGCTTTATCTTATAATAAAATTCAATGAAGTGATAAAAAAATGAGAGTTATGATAAAAAGAAATCCTAGTCAAAAATGAATAATGGCTGACAATGCTTCATCTAATAAGAATAAAAGTCAAGATAATATTACTACTAATACTCAGTCAGTTATGTGCTATGCGTGATACACACTTAAGCGATCATGTATCTTTCGATACATGACTGACGAGGCAGAATTTTTCCCGCGATAGGTTGCCATTTCTTTCTGCAGTAGACCAGTTGCCATCAAAGGCTATAGAACACTGTCTGTCCTGCTATTTATCCATAGCTTGAGAAGAAGAGGATTCACACCCTTCCCAAGTGTATTAGCACGTAAATGAATGTAATGGATTCGACTGGATTCGAACTCAAATAATCTCCGATTTCTCAATTTCTTAAAACATTACTCCACCGTACCTCCTAATGTAATGGAATAGAAAGCAAGCAAATTATTAAGATGAAAGAAATCCTAATGAAAAATGAATAATGGCTGACAATGCTTCATCTAATAAGAATAAAAGCCAAGATAATATTACTACTAATACTTTAACAGATAATGGAATAAAAAGCAAATTAAATTAAGATGAAAGAAATCCTAGTGAAAAAAATAATGGCTGACAATGCTTCATCTAATAAGAATAAAATTCAAGATAATATTACTACTAATAATACTAATGGAATAAAAAAGCAAGTGAAATTAAGATGAAAGAAATCCTAGTGAAAAAATGAATAATGGCTGACAATTTATTCATCTAATAAGAATAAAATTCAAGATAATATTACTACTAATACTTCTAATGGAATAAAAAAGCAAGTGAAATTAAGATGAAAGAAATCCTAGTGAAAATGAATAATGGCTGACAATGCTTCATCTAATAAGAATAAAAGCCAAGATAATATTACTACTAATACTTCTAATGGAATAAAAAGCAAATTGAAATTAAGATGAAAGAAATCCTAGTGAAAATGAATAATGGCTGACAATGCTTCATCTAATAAGAATAAAAGTCAAGATAATATTACTACTAATACTTCTAATGGAATAAAAAGCAAAATTTTTATTAAGAAAAAAAATCCTAGTGAAAAATGAATAATGGCTGACAATGCTTCATCTAATAAGAATAAAATTCAAGATAATATTACTACTAATAATTCTAATGGAATAAAAAAAGCAAATGAAATTAAGATGAAAGAAATCCTAGTGAAAAATGAATAATGGCTGACAATGCTTCATCTAATAAGAATAAAATTCAAGATAATATTACTACTAATAATACTTAATAATGAAAAAAAAGAAATATGAAATTAAGATGAAAGAAATCCTAGTGAAAAATGAATAATGGCTGACAATGCTTCATCTAATCTAATAAAATAAAATTCAAGATAATATTAAAACTAATAATACTAATGGAATAAAAAGCAATTTGAAATTAAGATGAAAGAAATCCTAGTCAAAATGAATAATTCTTTGCTGACAATGCTTCATCTAATAAGAATAAAATTCAAGATAATATTACTACTAATACTTCTAATGGAATAAAAAGCAATTGAAATTAAGATGAAAGAAAATAGTGAAAATGAAATAATGGCTGACAATGCTTCATCTAATAAGAATAAAATTTCTAGATAATATTACTACTAATAATCTAATGGAATAAAAAAGCAAGTGAAATTAAGATGAAAAAAAAAATCCTAGTGAAAAAAATGAATAATGGATGACAATGCTTCATCT